GCGATTCCCAAACTTTGGTCCTCCAGGTGTTTTGGACTTCAGCTCCCAAAAGACTTAGCCAGCATCACCAGCAGTCAGGGATTCTGGGAGCTGAAGTGCAAAACATCTGGAAGACCAAAGTTTGGGAATCCCTGAGATGGACACTCACCATCCTAAAACACACTCTGCAAGGCTCAGTGTTATGACTCAGTGCGATGGTATTCTGGGATTTGTCATTTTGTGAGCCTTCCCTGCCGAGAGCTTGGGTGCCACAGCAAACTACAAATCCCAGGATTCCATAGGATGGCGCCATGGCGGTTAAAGCAGCATCAGACTGGATCAATTCTGCAGTGCATATGCAGTCTCAGTATTGTAGACTGGGAAGGAGGAGATCAGCAGATATGGAGAGGGACGAGAAAGGAGCATCTTTGAAAAGGGGAAAATGTGGACCAGAGGATGCCTCCAGCCCCCCAAAGCCATGTTTGTGATGCTACAGAATCTCACATGCAAAAATCCCCCCATTTTGTCACCAAATTAACTCTAGGGAACATTTGCACCAACCAGAACAAGCGACTTCCAGATTACTTGTATTGCAAAAAGTTATCTCAGGCTTAAATATGTTACCCCAAAAAAGATGGGGGACTGGCAGTGGTCCACAACAAATATGATAGTATTATTTGAATTGTTAGGGAACGCGTGTGCGTGTTGTGTTCCTTCAAGTCATTTCCGACTTATGGCAACCCTGAGGCACCCTTTCATGGGTTGTTTTTTTCTTGGCAAGATTTTGTACAGAGGAGGTTTGCCATGGCCTTGCCCCTGAGGCTGAGAGTTTGTGACTTCATGGCTGAGCTGGGAATCGAACCCCAGCCTCGGAACAAATCTTGCCAAGAAAACCCCATGATAGGTTCACCTTAGGGTTGCCATAAATCAGAAACCACTTGAAGGCACACAACAACAACAACAACAGCAGCAACCACGTAACAAGGAACACGACGGTACTTGTGTAACATGAACGGCAATGAACTACATTTGGGGAAGATGTTTGGTAAACTCTTTAACTCTGGTCCTGTGGCACCTTTGTATTGTAGGAGAAGCTTTAATGGATCAGAGCTTCAGGGACAAGGATCCTCTTTTAATAGCAATACAGAGCCGCCCACAAAGCAAAGCCTAGGAGTCCATTGTGGCTTACATTGTTGATCTGTTATGTAGGGTCATGGGTGGGGATGCTGTTATGATTATTTCCTCCATAATGTGCCGTTGGGCTCCTGTTTTGTTGTGTTGTGTCAATGGAAAGGAACGTTCTTTTCTTTTTCTTGCCCACCACAGTAACCCTTAAAGAATTCCTCCGTCTTGTTCCAAGTCAATTCAGAAAGCAATGAGAGAATGGAAGAGGATTAGTAACCATTGCCGGGGGAGGATGATGACTCTCTGGGGGGGGGGGGGGAAATGTACCATCGCCTTATAATAGCATAATCACTTAGCATCGATTTTTAGCAGAGGGTATTGACCCCATTATCATCAATAAAGGCAGTGTACTGGGTTGTTGCGGCAGAGAACATCTCGAGTCAATTAGGACTCCCTGTTCTTCTGTCTTTACTCGAAAACTCATCAGAACGATTATGTGATCATGCAAAAAGTTGTGGAGGCAGCTGGGGGGAAAAACAACCCCAAAATAAACCATGTCTTTTATTGTAACCTCTGTGGTTATTTCTCTTTCGTACGGTTATGTTACAGCAGGCCCTTGGTATCTGTTAGGGTTTCGTTCCAGGATGCCAAAATCCGTGGACGCTCAAGTCTCGTGAGATACGACGGCAAGAGTAAAACGGTGCCTCGTATATAAAATGGCAAAATCAAGGTTTGGTTTGGGGGGATTTGAATGAATGAATGTAATATGCTGACTTTCTCCCAGGAGGGACCCAAGGCAGTTCACAGATAAAAAAAAAATCTCAATAAAATTCCAAACAATCATCTACAACAATATAAAATCGCATCGACTATATACAAAAGTTTAAAGCAAAAACTAAAACCCCACCTGCTCCGTAAAAACCACCCTGGTATCAATTATATATCAGATGCCTGCTTCAATAAAAATGTCTTGGCTTGCAGA